AGCATATGTGGGTTGCCCTTTATAATAGATGTACAGTACATCTACACATATTAATGAATTGGAAGGTAATTCTCTACAGGAAAATGGTTTTGTCTATATCAAGAGTGTCAGCATCATCGCTGTATTTTTTTAATTTTTCACTCTTACTTTTCGAGCTTCTTCTCCCTAGCGCTGCTCTTTAAACATTTTAAACTGATACATGAAGGCTTGGACTAGCTGTGGAGAAAGATTTATGAGCCTAGAGTACTTAGTTTATAAATTTAAAAAGTTTATAATAAATCTAATTAAAAATTCATGGTGACAGACAACCAAACTACCTAATACTCGCCTACGCGGCGAGTCCAATAACACTAATAACACTATTCAGTCATTAAATGTACACATGTACACTGTACATGTACTATACTGTCGTCAGTGTCATGTGAGAGATACTGTTTGTATAAAAGTAACAAACTACCGGTAACACAGCAAAATGCAAGTCAGATAAAAACACAATAATGTAGTATTAAGTACATATACAACAAATAAATATTGTATATATAATACATGTACATGTATATACAAGAGGGAAGCAGAAAGAGAAAGATAAAAAGAATAAAGGAGTTAATGAGACACATACCTTTCAGCAAAAGCAAGGTGAAGAGAGTTGAAAGAGTGTATGTATGGGCTTGTGATATGATGACCTGGCACCTCTCAGGCACACACTAGTACTAGGATACTCAAATTTACTTTTTGTACATACTTGTTGATTGCCATGATTGTTGCTAACTCATGTACTGTACATGCACATCTAGACTTTGCTTTCATGTAAGGTTATAATAATAATAATATGGGCCTTCTAATAATTCATGTATTCTTGAACTCTAAACTAAATTGTTATTTGTAAATAAATTTTGTTACCTTATATTTATTAATGATACTTTGTATTTTGTAGAATTTTCTAGTGAGAGTCTACCAGTTGGTATGATAAACACTTTACCAGCTGGAGCAAGAGGAGGAGAGATAACAACATCACTGACTTTCTCACCAGGAGAAAGAAAGAAAAGACAAAAAAGAAAATAAGCTTTTATTGTATTATAATTATCGTTTTTGTAGAGCGGATGGTTTATATTGTTGTTGTTGTTGTTGTCATTGTTGATATTTTAATTTTATGTGTAACTTCACGTGTTTTAGAGTTGATACTTGTATTATAAGCAAATTTCTCTCTTTGTTTCTTTATTTCTCCCTCTTTTCCATCACTTCAATTATTATAATATCAATGGCATACATAAAATACTAAAATTAACTAAATTTAAGTTGTATGAGAATAATTTTGCTTTGGAGGTGGGTCATAAAGAAGCTGTGAGGTTGAATTTTAACATTTTCTGTTGTGAATTTTTATTTACAACATTGTGATGGCCTATCATTTTGGAATTTTGCAGCTCTGCCCCATTGGTTGGTGATTCAGTGGATAGTCTTTCAACATGTTGCTGGTGTCCATTGTCTTCTTGTTGAGTGTCAGTGAAGTTATTAGTCAATGTCCACCTTCCTCAGGTAAGACACTGGATGTGTATCATAACAACTGTATAAGTTTTTATAGGTATCTACCTGATGCATAATGGAAACTGTTATCCTAATGGATCATATTTCCGAAAGGTTGATGTAAATCAATTTTCTAAATCTACATGTATATCGTGTGTTACCTGGTACTAATCTAACTACTGGTCAGTGGGTTAGGGTTGCTGATCCTGATGATCCTGTTGACTGCAACTACAGTAGTAATGCTGGTAATCCTTTTTTTGTACTACATGTACCTCCATCACTTCACTTGATACTACTCTCATTCTTTATTTTGCTCAAGGGAGAAACTTGAAGCAGATCAAGAAGGATTTTACAAGTTTTGTCGACCCACTGATCGTTCTACTTCTACTAGCATTATCTTTACTTCTTTATTTAGTGAGCATTATCATAAAGGCAGATTTACAATATTACGCTAGTCCTGACGTTACGTTGACGCTGGAATAGAATCTGGTTCTATTCCAGCGGAAAGCATGCGTCAAAAGGTCAAATCGCCCACGTTTTTGATTAAAAATTGACGGTATGCTGGCCTAATGTCATATTGTAAATCCGCCTTAATTCTGTAGTACTAAAACACTGGCTGACCTACCGTTGGGTGCACATGAACATTACATTTGAGCTTCCTAGCTTCAAATTTACAACTTCTCCCTCAAGCATACACACTACATGCTATTACAATTGAGTCTGGTAGTCAGGATAGGAAATAACAGTGCTTTAGTGCTCTAAATACATGTAGCACCAATTTTCCCCTAATGAGCACAATTTTACTTTAATATGTTCTACTTGGTGAGCCAATTGTGCACTAACTAAAGTCTATTAATTATTAATTAGATCTATTAAAAACATCACCCATAATAACACGTGTGCGTGCATGTGCTTCAGCAATTAAAATGGCTACTAATCAGTCCAGCTTATAATAGTACCAGTGCTCTTAGCTCACCAAGAGTGGAATATTTATATTATTTGGTGCTCATTTTGCTCACTCAAAATAATTCTTATTTCTAACCATGCTGGTAGTACTAGTACTAAAATGACTTCAGATGCCTGTACTGGACAGTCTGGATACAGTTGTACCATTGGTAATAGAGTATCGCTATGTACTCCTCGTGCATAAACCTTGTGTATAACCTTGTGTAACATAATAATTATTAACATTGTGTATGTGTTTCTAGTTCATTAACAACTGTAACCGGACCCACCAAATTAACCACTCCCTCAACATGCGAACACCCACACAAATGAGAGTAGCTGCATTCCCTGCATTCCTTGTAGCTTAAACAAGCAAGCACTACCACACCAGATCAATGGCTAGTAGAAGAGTGTTTTGTTTAGGTAATTTCTTAATAGAGACAGGGGAACTGATATTATAAATGATTGCATGTATTCTGGTACCAGCTAGTGAAGTGGTGGGTCCAGACTACTTTGTATGGTCTAGTAACTGTAGGTGATATTACCAACTGATTGTGTGTATTATAGATATCAGTCATATGAAGTTGGTGTCTGATGTCTTGAAGGAAAGTCACTTCATTGATGCTGACTGGTTTGAGTTAGGAATGGGATTAAACCTACCTTATCCTGGCCTGGCAAGCATCAGAGCTAGATTCACTGATCCTTCTCAGTGTTTACTGGAGTGCTTGGGCTTGTGGTTGACTTCAGCTAATAATCGTACTTGGGAATCATTAGCTAGTGCACTTGAGAGAATGAATCAATACACAGCTGCTACACTCATCCGTAATACATGTAAAGTTAACATACATAAATACAGTTTAAAGTATGTTTTTTTAGATGATGATCCTGCTAGTCAGATATTGCAGCATTACAGTGATAGAATATCACAAGTATCTCTCACTGATAGTTGTATCCAGTTGTTATATACAGAAGGATTAGTCACTGAGGATACACAAAGAAAGATTGAGAGATGTGGTGGCACATTAAGTGATACATTAAGAAAATTAATGATTGCAGTATCTGATGATCAC